TGTTGCTTGATTTTTCACTGCAAAGTCGCGTGTGTTCAAGCTCGTTTAAAGCTTGCAGAGTGGCACCCTTTTTGCTAAACTCGGAGTTTGAATCGCACGGTGTTTGGTCATTGCTTTTCACTAGCAAAGTTGAAGCAAGCCCGAAATGACTCCACGAACGCCGCCACCCTGCCGTCATTGTTGCACTTGTCCGCCTATGATGATGGCATCCGAGTTTCGGCCGCAAGTCGTACGACGACCCGTTCGCCAAAGTAGGTCGATAGTGCAGCGTCGGGAGTATGATGTACGCGTGAGCACCATTCACTTTTGTAGAGTAGGCACCTCCTTGTATTGCACTCGAGGTACTCTCCGGAGCAAGTACTCTAACGAGCGTCGACGATACCTCGTTTCGCGTAGCTCGACATTGGGTCTCCAACGACATTCATCAATGGCCATGGCGGTTGGGCGTCGTCTGAAACCACCTTGCTACAATAGTAACCGGCCGCCTTTTTTTGCGGAAACCACTACAGTAGCATAGTCCACGTTGTCTTTAAAAAACGATGGGTCTCGTGCTGCCTCGACGTCTTGTGGACACGGCAGGTGTGGCCTACACGCTTGGCTCGGCGTGCCTCGGCATTGCTGCGCTTCTCGTGCTCGAGCCGTACATGGCCAACGACTGCTTTTGGCCCGGCTTGTCGACAACCGTGAACGCAGTCGCCAACCTCGTCAATTTCGAGCTCGCTTTGGCCAGTGCCGGCTCGGCGGATCTGCTGCACCCGTCGTCGTACGCTGCGTGGGATCGATCGCTCGGCGTGCAGCAAGTGTCGGCGCGATCGCTCATGCTACAATCTTGGACGTCCTTTGAGATCGTCATCAACGGGCTCCGCGCTCTCTCGACACGCCAAGTCGCGAATGATCTCGTGACGCTCTACTGCTGGGCAGACGTGGGTCGTAAGTGGGAACTCGCCCTCTCGGCGCCGCGTCAAGCTCGCTGCAACGCGCACATGGCACCGAATGCGGCCGTGTACCTCGAGACGACGCTGCGCAACATCGACTACGCCGTGGGTCGCGTCCACCAACGACGCCTTTTCCAGACACATTGCACAGCCAATTGCGACAACTGGACGAGACGGCGTGACGTGGCTGGACTCACTCCTCGCTCCCCAAGCCCCCGTGGCGGTCGAGGCTGCGCGCTGGACGTCGCATGGACTTGCGTACTACCGCCTGCAATGGGGCAACTCCTTTGCCTACAGCCTCGCCGAATCGTTGGCCATCACCAACGGACTCGGCTTGACGTCGCAACAGCTCCTCAAGGTCGTGCCGGGTGTGCCCCGGAGCTCATACTTTCCGTACACGTCGTTGCTACTCAACAGCGCGCTTCTCCAATTTGTGTTTTACGCGCTGGCCCCAAACACGAGTCTCATTCGCAACACGCCGTCGCCTTTGACATACATGTCGGGGATTCAGGCGTTCATCCTTGGATTTGCGCTCTCGGAGCTCAACCTTGTGCTGCAAAACACGGTGGGGCCCCTCTGCATCATTGACGCATATTTTGTTCCGCCCCCCATCGCACTCACGGACGCCGTTCATGCCTTCCGCACCCACGTGCTCACTGCCATGGTGTCGAATGCGACGTTGGCGACGGCGCTTGAGGCCGTTGGAGATGCATCGATCCAAGTGACACCGCGGCGCTGGCGCGACCCGGCCCTGCGCTTCTACGGCGGCAACCCGCTCTGCAACACAGCCCCCTTGCGACCGTACGTACAAGCGTCGTTCGGCTTTGACTCGCTCTGCGGTGACCGGAGTCCGCTCAGCGTCACGTGGCATGTGTTCAACAGCCTTTTTGCGTGGCACATGCTCGGCCAAAACGACGTTAGCGGTAGCCAACACTGTGCGCTCGGAACCACAGCCGAGCATACGCTGCTGTGCTTCGACATCTTGGCTCGGACAAAAGTCGCACTCGTCCCAGCGACATTTCTTGCGCCATTGCCAATAGCCACCATGTCGAAGCTCCGCCCGGTCGGAGTGAGTCAAGTGGTGTGGAACCAGTCGGTGGTGACGTTGGAGATGCAACCGCTTCTGGACGGAGGCTTTGCATTCTTTGGCTGGATGGGCTTGTACGACTGGGCCATGACCCAGCGTGAGGTGATTGCATTCGAAGGCGACGTAAACACTCTGCATATTCTATCCCCAACCTACCCGACCGTGCCGCAGCCGTTGACGACGGTAGCGGGGACGCTGGGGCCGTTTTTGTGGTCGCTGGCCGCCTTGGGCTCGGTGGTGGCCAGTCTGCTTGCGCTCGGCGTGGTTGCGCTCTGGATAACGATTCGACCGCAAGCGACGCGCTGGCACCTCTTTCAGCGCCTTGTTGGCACCGTGTGGTTGAGCCGAAGCATCGTCGTGGCGCGGAGCGTGTGTGCGATCGCCGCCTTGGCCACGGCTCCGATTGGAGTTCAGTCACTCCACAACGTCGAGTCGCTCGCGATAGCGCCGCGCACGATCTGGATTTCGGGGCTTTTGGCGTACGAAGCCTCTTGGCTCACTACGGTTGTGCAGGAGATTGTGTCTCCTGTCGTGGCAGAGCGCGAGCTTGCTATGCCGATCGCATGCCTCATTGTCTTCCTCATTGACGTCGCGTCGCCCGTCACGGCCGCAGCGAGCCTCGAACGAAAGTGTACGATCATCAACCTCACCACCGGCCTCGAGTGCAACATCGGCAGTGTGACGATTGGTTGGTTTTCGCGCTGTGTGCTCGTGGCCGCGATATGCGTGCTCTGTGGTCTCTGGAGCTCGCGCAACGCAGCGCTGCAAGCCAAGAGCCTCCTTCTGCCCGCATTGAGTCGCAAGACATTTGCGGCGACGGGTTCGCAAGGGCCTCTTGACAGTGTCACAGCCGTCATGTGCGGTCTCTTCCTCTATTCTTCTCGCTCTGTCTTTGACGTCAAACTCTGGTTGCGACTGCCTGCGTCCAACATGGCGACGCTGGGGTCTCCTGCGACTCTGCCCGTGCACCAGGCTCCAAATACCCTTGCCATCGTACCGGAAAGTGCCCCCGAGATTGCAGTGGAGCTCCCCAAGTCGGACCGCCGCTTGAGTCAATGGCTCCGCTACAGCATTGCCTTGGCCGGCCTAGCGTATCTGGGCGGTACACTGACAAGCAACGTGGCCTATATATCGGTTCTTGGCGACGCCATGGCCAACGACTTTGGCTGGTCCGGCTTTAGTACAGCGGGAACCTATGTGTTTTTGGCGCGGATCTTTCACGAGCAGCTCGTTCTAGGCACGAATGCGACCGAGCTGTTTGTGACATTGCCTACGTATGGCGACGTGAGCCAGCTGTACAACACGTCGGATACGTCGACCACGTGGTGGGACAGTGCGAGCCATCAAGTGCTGTACGATCCCAACGTGCTGCTCTTGACCGACATTGTCAAGGGCCTTCGATCGATGAACCCGTGCCAACTGCCGTGGATGTTTACGCAATACTGTTTTCTCGACTTTGGTCAGCAATGGGAAATGGCCAACTCGGTCGCTCGCCAGCGGCGGTGCGAACGTGACACGATGGCGTCGAACGCCGCCGTGTACCTCGAAGCCAGTTTGCGCAACGTCCGCGACTGGGCGGCGTGGAACACTTGCTGGCGCTCGTCGTTTGAGATTGGCATTGCAAGAGAGCTCATGGCGTCCCCAACGGGTCGGCTGTGGCTGGCCACGACGCGCACTGCGTCGACGTCCATCGAGGGCGAAGTCGGCTACTGGCAACGCTATGGGAAAAGGGCCTATGTGCTGCAGTGGCAAAACTACAAAACGAGCTCGTTCTCGGACGCCTTGACCGTCACGTCGGCGCTCGGGCTCACGTACACGCTCCCCATCAGTAAGCGTGACGGTGCCATGCATTTGGATGCACAGACCTCACTGCGCATGTACTGGTCGTGGGCCAACGACCTCCTGGCGATTGCCGACAACTCGTCTCTCATTGCGGGTCGCAGTCTCTTGCGAAGCAGTGCGGCCTTTGCGTTTTCAAACGTATCGAGTGGGGACCTCTTGGTGCAGGCACAGCACCTCCCATCACCATTGTCGGCAGGTTTGGCTTTGGTTCGAGACCTCGTTAGGCCGTTTGGCAGCATGGATGTGATCTACGTCCCCTGCCCCGACGCCATTCGGCGCTACTATGGGTCATTTACGTCGAGTGTGCATTCGGTCTTGCTAACGAATCTCACAGTTCAGGCCGAATTTTGGAGTCTGTCAATGCCGGCGTACTTTGGGGACGTCCCGGCGCCGCTTTTGGAGACGACAAATCTGCTCCTTACGGGGGGCAATCTCATGTGTGGTGACGACATTGCTCCCGGACCACTCACGTTTGCTGTCTACACGAGCTTTGGAAGCTTCCAACTCTGCAGTACGACGCAACCCGAGTACTTGAGTCCATCGAGCATACAACTGCTTTGGGCGATGCACGCAGTCATGAGCACACTGCGGCCCCGGTGTCGTGGGACGTCATTTGCGACAGCAACCCGCTCCGCGAAGTCACGTGCACCGACACGTTGCTTGCGATTGCAACCTTCTTGGACGCTCGACGCAGGTATGTACCGTCCAACGACATGGCAAAAGCAGCAGAGGCCGCCGTGAGGGAGCTCAACGTGACTGTGCTGCAATTTGTAATAGTGAATGGATCCAGCCAACTGTACCAAGTGGGGCTGGTCGACCCAAAGCTGCCGTCGTGGCACCTCAACGGCTGGCTCCTCACGTACGAGTGGGTAGCGGGGCTGCGCGAAGTCGTGTCTTTCCGAGGGGATATCGGTGCCATCACGACCATTTCGGCGCCGGTGCTCATGCGAACCATGCCGCTCGACGACAGTGTCATCACGAGCAAGATCTCGTTCCTCTTCCTTCAGTCCGCCAAGTACGTCACGCTGGTTCTCATCGCGGTGAGTGGCACCGCGCTTCTGTACGCGATAGCCTCGAGAGGGCATATCGAAGGCCTCAACCTCTTGGAGCTCAACCGAATTGTGGGGCATGTCTGGATTGGGCGACCGCTCTTGATCTTGCGAAGCATAACCGCGCTTTGGCTGCTCAATACGAGTCCACTGCTACTGCAGCAAGTGGGACTGGGCACGACGCTCACCGCGCCACCGGTGCCATGGTACGAGACGATCCTTGCGGCCTCGGAGCTCACGTGGGCCGTGTACGTCGTCAACGACCTTGCCAGCTGCGTCACCAAGCAGCACACACCGTCGATCGCGATGGCCAGCTCGATTCTTACGTGGTTGATTACCGCCGTCTGGACACTGGTGGCTCCGTATCGCTGCCGCGTGCACCTCTTGCGTCACTGCACCTTTGATGACATGGACAGCGGTGTTCACTGCGTCAGTGGCGATGTGCAAGTCGGTAGCCTCGACCGCGTACTCGGTGACGTTGGTATCGTGCTCGCTTGCGTGCTTGTCTGTGCGCGGATCGACATGCGGTGCCGCCCACACGTACCGCCAGTTCGAATCCCGACGTTGCTGTTGAATGCGTCGAGCTACTACATCTTGGACTTTCGACACTGGCGCCGCGGACAACGCGAGGTGTACTTGGACCAGACCTCCGGTGTGCTCGCGGGCCTCTTGACGCTGCATTGGAAGTCAACGCTGTACATTTTCGACGTCAAGAGCTGGCGCCTCACAACGGTAACCACCCGCCCGACGACGCCCGAGCTCGCCAAGGCCATTCCTCTCCACGACCTCGCCGATGACGCGCTTTAGCACAATACCACTGGACAAATATATTTTACTTTTTCAAAATTCGGCCCACGACGTTGTTTTTTACATGAGGTCGCCGACAATATCGAGCACAATCCGAGTTCACCTTGTGGACGCATAATGACTTGAACCCAAATCCCCAAAAGAAGGAGCCAATTCAACGCGAGCAACGAAATTGTTGGCGTCGAGCGGTTTTTCGTGAAACCAACACGGATTTTGCATCCTTCGAGCAACATCGTCCAGCATGAGCTCCCTCCGCGGCCCGCTTGTCAGCGCCGACTTTCTCGTGAGTCAGCACAGCGACGTGCACTACGATGTCGGGACGTCCATGCACCACGGCAAGCGCCTTGTACAGCACTTTCATTTCACTTGTAAAAGATCATTGATCCTGCGTTTGATTAGGCACTTCGGTTCGATATGAATGGGAGCTCGAGCTACGTCGAAGTGACGCGCACGGATGTCCTCAAGCTCGTCCAAGCCGCGGCAGTATCTGTTCAAGCCACGTCGCCCCGGGACACCGCCAGCCGCCGCATCGAGATTCCCGTACAACACTTTCTTATAGCACTTTTTCTATCTTGTGGGTACTACATTTGTAGGCCATTCACATGCGGGATCTGCGCAAACTAGACAACGTGTTTGCAACGGCGAACGAGCCGTCGCTCGTGGTGCGGCAGCAAGCCATCTTGGTCAACGCCGGTACGACCTCGCTTTCGACATGTAATTTGTGTAGCAAATGACGATAGACCCGGTGCGCGCCGTGATTCTGCGGGATACGTGCCTCGTCTTTTTGCCCGACGGCGCCGACAGCCTCGTCTCGGCGCTCAAACACTGCTTCAAGGAGCAGCTCGTCGATGGCATGAGCCTGCAATTCGAATTTGCGTGCGATTTTTTTTGTATTTTGGGGGATTTTGGCATCTCACATGGGATGCTAGTGCGCTCGAGGCCGTGCTGCACACTGTCTGCAAGTCCGCGCACGCACCACTCAAGGCATAAACTAACGCGATATGTGGTTAGGGTCTTGACAAATGACGGCGAGAAGATCTTGCCCCTCACCAAGGTCTACGTGGACCGCATGGCCCGAGGCGATCTGCCCATGAACGAAATGGAGACGCTCCGGGCACTCAAGAATAGTTTGCACGAACTCGAGTCCCAGGTACAACTTGTCGTCGAGATAGTCGGTCGAGCGGTGCTTATTCCATGTCGTAATTTGTAGGTTAGCGGTATGCGACGCATGCTCATGGAGTTCTTGGAGAACGAAGACGAGATGCGCATGCTCAACTTGACGACAGTAACCCTATCCACCGATCCTTCGTCGAAGTGACGTGCATCCAACTGTAGATCCACGAGGACCCCGCGCTCGCGAGGGACTTGGAATACCTCGACACTGACAACATCGAGTCATTCCTTGAAGTGTACCTTCACGTACTTTGTCTACACTGTGCCAACGCGACACTGGTCTTGACAAAATGTACATTAGGACATTTATGCGACCCAGACGCGCGTCGCACTCATGCTGCAAAACATTCAAAACACCGAGGGTCTCGCCATGCTGCGACTGGACACGAAGCGCAACTATCTCCTCACCGTCGACTTGACGCTGACGACGTGGACGACGATGATTACGATTCCGACGTTCATCGTCGGCGGGTTTGGCATGAACCTCGACTCGTCAACGCAGCAGACACCCTACATGTTTTGGATCGTCTTTGGCGTCTGCGTCCTCTTTCCCCTCGTCGGTGTACGCTACGTCATGCTCTTTTTGGAGCGGCGCGGCATCAACACGAGCTGGAGTGCCAACTAACCCGCATCGTAGCTTCTAAGAAGAATGCATATATATATGAACGTGCTCCGCGTTATCTCCATAATTAGACAAAGACTTCGCATACGTAGCACTACGCTTGAATGCGTGGGAGTTGGCACCAGCACTTGGTCGTTGGGAGTGAGCTGCGTACGGAGAGATCCATCCCGTGGAGGACCCCACTCGCCGAGTCATAGCTCGCGCGAGGTCATATAGTTATATAAATGCTACAAAAGTTCTAATGCTGCTGATTGGTTTTCGTTCAGAGACCCAACACTTTTTCTGTTCACTGGGTCGTGCGCACTAAGATCTCCATTCTTATAGCTCGATATATCGACAAATAAAAAACAATAAAAATCACAAAGTTCAAACGTGTCATTTGCACTTGTCAGGTCAAGAGCTTTACAAAGTGCCAAACGTAACGTCAATGGTCAGCGTCTTGCTGAGCTCGTCCCAGGATGCCACGCGAGAGACAATGACGCCATGATGCGATAGATCGATATCGACGACCTCATGCCCAGTGCAATGCGCGCGCAGGTACTGCTTGTCGCCATCCGAATCGACCTTGCACTCAAAATCGCCCTGGCTCCATGGACAAAAGACTTGAATATGCGCAATGTTCGCTTGCGTATCGGGGTCGCGCCGTGTTGTCATCGTGTAGGTCGTCGGTCGCCGCATCGGCGGCCTTCCTGGAGGCAGCATCCCTGGAGGCAGCAGTCCCGGTGGCTGAGCCTGTACAACAGTACGGTCAGCCGACGTACGCGCCAAGAGGTTGTACTGGTGCCCTGCGTCACGCGTGTGCGCCATGTATTGTGCTTCATTGGCATGCCAGGAAGCGCACAACCGGCACTCAAAGCCGACGAGTTGTTGGACGAGGATATTTGGGTTTGCCACGAGGTCCACTGTCTCCAGCGCCAGTCGCCGGAGCCGCTCGCGCCGCGCGACGTTGGCGTCTTGGTTGGCGGCGACCGCTTGCGTCGTCGACCGGTTCGAGTCCATGCGCCGATTGTGACAATCGGACGGGCACGACGATTTCATTGGCTTCTCGTTGGCCAATCCAATCGTTTTGCAGAGAGTGACCATCATTCTTGCACCAATCTGCCATTTTGCGTTCGCACAGTCGACGATTCGAGCGACAAGTAGCATGCCGAGGGTCCCAGCTACGAGCCGAGAGGAGCCTGTCACTACCTACAAAGACGTACTGAGCTTGTTGCGCCCCGTCAGCGTTGAGGCCGCGACTGGGGCGTATACCCCATTGCCCAAGCTCATGCTCGCTGGCATGGCTGAGCCGCTCGAGGTCCCGCCGAGCCCGCAGACGCTACGCAGCGTCGCCGCGCGCTACATTGGCGCATCTCAAGCGGCCATCGTTCCCGCCTGTGATGTCAATATCCTGGGCGACTGGGAGCGAGTGCTACATCGCCATCTCTACTCGACCATCGAGGGCATCCGACATGACGACCGCCTCGCGCTCTCCCATCTCAGTATCGACCCGCAGCACGAGACCTCGAGCTTGTCGCCGCGCTGTCGCTGCGACAATGCGATTGCAACGCTCGTCGTGTTGCTGGCAACACCCAACGTCCGCGCCCTGAATCTGAACATGATGCAAAATGGCCAGATCACGCATGCTTGGCGTGGCAAGTACACCATCGGGTCCCAGTACGCCTTGATGCCCCCAGGCACGTCGCTTGTCGGTCACGCCACCAAACTACGCGGCGCGCCGCCGCGGGTCGCGCTTGTGTTTTATGTCGTGCGGTCCGTGATACCGACTGCGGTCGGGCTTCGGCGCCACGTGGCGTTGCGGCTGCACGCGCTGGCGGCATCGGACAACTACGGAGTTCTGAACGGCGTGCAGGTGCACCGCTGTGGCCGCCATGCGACGCCCGATTGGCGTGCGCTCGAGCCATTTCATACGGCGTTTCTCGACGCGCTTCTCGACGCTGGCTGCTATGACGTCGGTCTCGCAGTGTACTCACCAATGACGGGGATCGAGCGTCTGTTGTTGCAGTCACCGGTGCCGGTCCCAATCACTCTCGTGGGCGCCAAATGCACCGAGTACGTCGAGATCGACGACGACTCGTGGCCATGCTACGGCTTTTGCGTCGCCATGATCTTTTGGCCCAAGCGACACCTCGTCAATGTCATGGGTGGCGCAGCGTTTGCATCGGCCATGCGCTCGCTACCGGCTGCATGCGCTCGGATGTATGTGACCGAAGCTGCCAGCGTCTTTGCCACCAAGTGTATGAGGACGCACGCAGCCGGTGGTGACCAGCGTCAACTGACCGCCGATCACGACGCGATGCTCCAGCTGTTACAAGATAATGGCGACGTTGACTGCGTTCATCGCTTTCTAAGACACTGCGCGACGGTGACCGCGACGTGTCCACTGCCGCTGCTAGCCCCGTGGATCCAGCACCAGCTCGCCAAGTATGGGTGGGAGCCGCTGGCCAACGCTCTGGACAGCCTGGTGTCTCGGTGGTGCTCGAATGAGAGTGTCAAACATGCGGCGTCGCTGGTCGCGTCACTCGCTGGTGCCACCGATGCCCCCGTGTGCGCGCCGCTAGTTCAGCCGTTCGTATTCGAGTGCATTCAGCGGCTGTGGGCGACCGTGGTGACGGGTCTCGTCCAGCTGCGCACCTTGGAGTCGCGACGCCAAGACGCGCTCCAACGGCTACTCATCGACGCACTGTACCTTGAACACTACTGTGATGACCGCGCCGACACCGATCGATGGCTTCAGACACGCCTGCCGCCGTTCACGATCCGTCTCGTCGACGCTTTTGTCTGGCAACCGACCAAGTCGGTCGCCGAGATTTTTGCTCGACTCGCAAGACGTGCACCATGTCGTCTGCTCGTGCTGCTACCCGAGGCGTTGACAACAGCATTCCAGCACAACTCGGGTATTCACATCTCGCCGCTTGTCACGTGTATTCTGGACGGTCTCGATGCCAACAAGCACGTCGAAGTGCCAACGACGTCGCTCACGAGCTTGCGCTGGCTCTTGGAGCAAAATGCGACCCGAAGCCGCATCGACGAAGCTTATCTCGAAGGCTGCTGGCGTCGGGAGGACGTTCGCTCATCGAGTGATGACAGCGGTGCATCGTCTTTTGGCAGTGATGATGATTCGAGCAGTGACGGCGACTTGAGTAATGACGACGACTTGAGCATCGTGTGGGGCGTCTAGGGAAGCCAGGCAGTATCTTCACATCTACGTTTTTCAACATATATACTCGAGATCTTTTTGCACACCAGCACTGGTATCTCCATTTCAGTGATGGTGCGGACCATAGCAACCGCCCCATGGCCAGCTGGTCGCGCCGGCACCTTGTCGCGCTCCCGTCTCTGCTTACCTCTACCCTCAAACAGTATAGAATCTCTATTTAACGAGACAAGCCGCTTCAACAACCACACCATGGACTGCAATCAAGCTTCTCCCTGAGCACAAGGTTTTTACTAGCAAAACGATAGGCCGAGCAGTTGGTCTATCGATGGCTTTGCCGCGAGGTCGTCTCCAGCGCCAGTTGCCGGAGCAGCTCGCGCCGAGCAACGCTGCCGTCTTGGTTGGGGATAGTGACGACGAAGACACATGACAGTAGCGACGACGGCGATGACGATGGTCAAAACGATGACAGCGATGATGACGATCAAGGCGATGATGACGTTAAAGTGGACGGAGATGACGAGGAAGCTGTCACCTACAGCGACGTTGCCCGGCTGGTTCTGGCTTCTTCTACACGTTTGACTATGACAACTTGGTCGTCTTTGCCCAGCGTTTATTGACTAGCGTACCCGCCGCCACGACACGTTGGCGACTCGCTCAAATGGTTGTCACGCCACTGCTCCAGAGGGTCCCGCTGCGGTTTCCATTGGCTTTGGCAACGCTCGAGGTGCTCCAGGACGCGTCTGCCCGCTTCACCAAGCAGCAGCGCGGGCCAGCCACGTAGTCAAAAGGCGGTAGTTCTATATCACTATCAAATATTGCTAGACATGTTGTACACATTTGCACAGGCAACCGTATTGATTGCCATCGAGCCAAGAGCGGTGTTTTTAGCCTCGACAGATTATTGGGTAAAAGCCAGCGCTTTATAGCCAATCCGGAGCGGCCTGCCGCTAGGAACCAATGATCTCCATTTTCAGGAAGCGAACCAAGGAGGCGCAAGATGAGCCATGTCATGTGGACCTTCGACGCTGAGAACATTGCGACGAAGCGCGGCCGCGTGAAGCGCGTGGTCAAGGAGCGCTACCTGCGCGATGACATCGCCTGCGGCCTCGGCAACTGCGGCCTCTGCCAGACTCGCGAGGACGTCCAGGTCGTCTCAGCGCTCTCGGGCCGTGCCAAGCAGTTTCTGCTTCTGACGTCTGACGTCGTGCTGTCGCAGATGGACGTGCTCGAGCACGCGGCCGTGAAGGAGCTCCAGGACGTCATCATCCTCGAGACCGTGGCCGAGGCGGTCAAGGCCAAGGACCTCGCGATCTACCGCCGCCTCCGCGCGCTCATCAAGTCGGACCGCAACTTTGTCGTCTTTGCCAACGACCACCACCGCGATACGTATGTGGCCAAGCAGGCCGACGAGACCAACGTCGCGCGCGACGTCCGCGCCATGTGCAAGGGCCATGCATGGTATTCCACCACGATCTTGCCTTGCAGCTCAGCGCGTCTAGGTACACGGAACACATGCACTCGAACGACGCCAAGATCCCGATCGTGTACATTGCAAACGACGACGCCGACGCCGAGCAGGCCTCGGCCCAAGGTGTTGCAGCGACGACGATTGCAGCATTCATCCAGCCGCTCCTGGTGACGTACCCGGACCTTGCCGACTTGATGGCGCAGTCGACGCACGTCTCGGAGAGCGCCAAGGCCGCGCGCACGACCTTGTACGAAGAGCACAAGAGCATGTCCGAGGTGCTCGCTGGCATCAAGAACAAGCGCTTCTTCCAGGGCACGCTGCGCTGCAACCGCGACCACTGGTAGACTCGCTGTCTCCATCTCCTGGCGTCTCATGCACGCGTTCATAGGATGGAATGCAGCGTCCTGATCCACGGCCTCAACGACTCGCGTGTGCCTGTGCTCATCTCGGGGTAGGCGCCTTTGCCGACCCTAGCCCTCGATTACCCTCTTATGCGTCATAACTAGGCACGACTCCATCAACCGCGCCATGGACGGTGATGTCGTCGCGATCGAGCTCCTCCCCAAGCACCTGTGGAAGAAGCCGTCCGAGTCGTTCAACGTGCACAGCGAAAAGGCCGACGACGAGGACACGGCCCGTGCGACCGAAGCCCCTGAGGTTGGCTCTCGCCATTCTCCTATGGTAGGTATATAACTGTGTATGTTGCACTGTAGATTGGCGTGGCCGAGCCGACCTTGTCGACGACCGCGATCGCGGACGGCGACGAGCTCAAGCCGTGCGGCCGCGTGGTCGGCATCATCCAGCGCAACTGGCGGCGCTACTGCGGGTCCATCGAGCCGCCGCGCGACCCGAAGATCCCGCTCGGTACCAACTGCCTCTTTGTGCCGGTCGACCGCAAGGTGCCCAAGATTCGCATCGCGACGCGGGTATGTTCCTGTCGAATTTCCGGATTTTTACGATTTTTTACGATTTTTTACGATTTTTACGATTTTTGGATGATGTAGCAAGCCGAGACGCTGCTCGACAAGCGTATTGTTGTCAGCATCGACTCGTGGCCTGTCGACAGCCGGTTTCCCGTCGGTCACTACGTTCGCACGCTGGGCACGATCGGCGACAAGGAGACCGAGACCAAGGTGCTTCTTCTCGAGCACGACATTCCTTGTACAATATTCTTGCAGTCTACAGAAAAGGGCTATAAAACGATATGGTGTAGGCGAGGCGTTCTCAGACAAGGTGCTCAAGTGCCTTCCGCCCGCCGACTGGACGATCACGCCCGAGAACTCCAAGGGCCGCACCGACTTGCGCCACCTGCCGGTCATGAGTATCGACCCGCCCAACTGCAAAGGTATTTGATGAGATTGCTCAATCGTATCTGGTGACGCATTCCAATATATCTAGATATCGATGACGCGCTGCACGTGCGGCCGCTGCCCAATGGCAACGTCGAGATTGGTGTCCATATCGCCGACGTCACGCACTTTGTCGAAGCCGGTTCGGCGCTCGATCTCGAAGCGGCCGACCGCGGGACGTCGACGTACCTCGTCGACAAGCGTCTCGACATGTTGCCGGGGTACCTCACGACGCAGCTCTGTTCGCTTACCGACGTCGAAGACCATTTTGCGTTTACGGTGCTTTGGGAAGTACGCATCGACGCCAACGAAGTGCATGTGATTGACGTCAAATTCTGCAAGTCGATCATCCGGTCGATCGCGTCGCTCTCGTACGGCGAAGCCCAAGTGCTCTTGGACGACCCGAGTGCCGGGGCGTCGTTCGCACTCAAGCCGCCGGCCAAGCCGATCACGGAGAAGAAGAAGATTATGGGGGCCGCCATCAAGACGATGCACGACATTGCGCTGCGCTTGAAGGCCAAGCGCATCAACGCCGGCGCGCTCACGCTGGCGTCGCCCGAAGTCCGCTTTGTGCTCGATACCGAGACGCAGAACCCGCTCGACGTGCAAATGTACGCGCTCAAGGACACGAACGCGCTCGTGGAAGAGTTTATGCTGCTCGCCAACATTACGGTCGCCAAGAAGATTTTGCGCTCGTTCCCAACATTTGCGATGCTGCGCCGGCACCCGGCCCCGTCCAAGCGCCAGTTTGATGCGATCGTGTCGCAGGCCAAGGCCGTCGGCGTCACGCTCCGCGTCGACAACTCCAAGCAGCTCCAAGGTCCGCGTTCATATAGGCTGGAGACCAGTGTCTGATGCAACATGCGGTGTAGAGAGTCTGGACAGCACGGCGGCCATCCGCGACGACAACCCGTATTTCAACAAGATGCTCCGCATTCTCTGCACGCGCTGCATGATGCCGGCGAGTTACTTCAGCTCAGGCGAAGTCAGCGTCGAAGAGTACCACCATTACGGTCTCGCCGCGCCGATCTACACGCATTTTACGTCGCCGATTCGTCGGTACGTCACCGCGTCTTTTGTTTGGGACCTCTGACATGACGCTGCTCCTAGGTACGCGGATGTGGTCGTGCACCGGCTGCTGGCGGCGGCCATTGGCGTCGCGCCGCTGCCCGAGTACCTTGAAAACAAGAGTAGCTCTCCGATTTGGAGCGGATCGACCGACTCATGCTCGTGTGATGGTAGCGCACCTCCAAGACCTCGCGGGCAACTTGAACAAGCGCCACTTGTCGGCGCAGCTCGCAGGCCGCGCCAGCGTGAGCCTCCACACGCTGCTCTACTTTGCCAACAACCCGACGGTGACCGACGCCATGGTCAACAAGGTGCGCGCCAACGGCATTGGCGTGCTCCTCCCGCGCTTTGGCATTGAAGGCATGGTGCTGCTCTGCGAGAAGGGCAAGGAAGCTGTGACGCTCAAGCACGACCCGAAGCAACACGCGCTGACCGTGCTCTCGACCAAGCGCCACCTCAAGGTCTTCCAGAAGGTCCAAGTCAAGGTGTTTGTCGAGCTCACGTTTGGGAACCGCCAGCAACTCAAGTTTGAGCTCATGCCGGAGACCAAGAAGACGCCGTCGACGGGCGCCGTGCCCGCGGCCAAGCGCGCCAAGACAACCACGACGACCAAGTAACCTTAGATATACTTTACAACATCAAAGCCATAACTTTTATAGCTAACCTGGTATCCCGGTCAGCAACGCTCGGTCCTGGCTTCATTGCTGGCTGGCCACAGACAATCGCGCAGAGCTTCGTGATGCGCCGAAGGTTCTTGAGCGTTGTTTGGTTCGTCGGAAATCGCAGCAGTAGTTATTGAAGGCAGCCGAGATGGCGCTTGGACGGCCGATCATGCGACGGGCAAGCGAGTACTAGGGAGCGCACCGACCGCCTTGCCGTCCTCTCAAATCGTGCCGAAGGCGAGCGCTTCAAATACCGGAGGCGCAAAGGTTGTCGTGAAGTGGTCGTCGCCGTGGACGCTATGTGTGGGGTTCCGGGTATATTTGACTCTGTTTATCTTCGCACAGCATACTGCCTATACTGCGTTTCTATTCCCTACAGCCTACAGTTGTACTGGGGCACGCCACGACCGTCATTGGGATGTGCAGACCACATCACCACAAGGTGGCCCATGGAGCATCGTCATCGCTGTTGAACCCTATCGTCTGCACACCGAGGCTGGTGGTAGACAAGTGCTAAAGAGAAGGCGACATGAAGAGTGACTAAATTCGTACGTGCTACAAGAAGCTAAGCTAGATCTACTCGGAGAGGCGATGCCGCTGAGCTTCAACTTGAACTGCAAGCACTCGGTGCAGAGCTGCAAGCACGTGCCGTGTCGAGGTCATGGGCATTAGCCACGACAATCTTCGTCATTCTCATCATCATGCTCGTCTTCATGACCGTCTGCATGATCGTCTTCATGATCAACTTCATCTTGAACATCTTGTACATCCTTGTCGTCTTCATGATCAACTTCGTCTTGAACATCTTGTACATCATTGTCGTCTTCATGATCCAAAATAACTTCATCTTGAACATCTTGTACATCATTGTCGTTGCAGTAGGCATGAAGGTACACAGTGTCTTTGATGATCCGTTGGACTTCGACTTCGAGTCGCGCTTCCGATGGACTCAGACGAACAAGCATGCGCTCCTGCGGCCATAGAAGCTGAATGAACTTGTGGGTACCCGGCTGAACCAGCGGCGCACACACGGGGGCATTGGTGACACCTGCGAGCGACGCGACAAGCGACGCTGCCCACCCAACGCGGTTGTGGGAGCACCAATGAGAGACAAGATCATTCACAGCGCCAAAGAGCGACTCCCATGAATACTGGGCGAGTACAGAGTGTAACCACGGCGCCAGACGAGTATAAGTAAGAGGGCATGAAGGATCAAGATTGACCCATTGCCGTACGAAGCGATCGATGACGTCGAGAGCGTGGAGATCTTGCCGAAATTGAAGCATCACCTCGTGGTCGAGACGCCATGGACCAAGATGACCGGCACGTAAGGCCATCAAACACATCGACGTCGCAAACGCAGCATTGCTCATGACGTCGACGAGGTGCTGCTTGCGCCAAAAGACAAGGACGACGACGACACCGCCGTACGGTTGCTCGTTGTCGTCGGTAAGAACATATTCGTCCAAGACCACGTTCAAAAAGTCGCGTTGCTTCACCGGGGACGACTGCTCATGCATCCCGAGGAGCTGGATGCCAGTCTCTTGCGAGTACTCGGCGAGACCGATGTCGTAGCAGTTGGAGCCCAAGAGAGCGTCGAGAAACGCGCGGAGGAGCACTGGGAGCGCCTCCAAATCGGGCAACTGATCGCGGCGTCCCACTTGGATACCGCTGCGGTTGCCGAGGGCACTTATAGGTGCGAGTTTCTCGAGATACAGAGCCCCACGATCAATCATGGCAAGACCACGCGCCGTGTGAGCGCTCGACCTCACGACACGAAAGATCAGAGCCACCCGCGGAGGAGCACCTTGCGCCGGGACAGCGCTGGCGACGAGCGACGCTTCTGTGGGTACGAGAGCGTAATGCACGGCGTTCGTGTTTGCCTCGCGCCACGGCACCGCGACACCGGCTTGCACAAGCTTCAAGTTGATTTCGCGGGCGTCCATCGGTGCCAAAAGCACGACGAGGGTCGCGATCACATCTTTGCGGAGCGTACTAGTACTCGGTACTAAGCTCGAGGCGTCGTACAGCGAGTCAATGCTGAGGTGCGAGAGCTCGATGCCGTCGTTGGGGTCGATGCACTTGAGATCCGTCGACAGCTCGAAACACAGCGCGGGGGCCCAATTGTCGAGAAACACAAGAGAGTCACCAGGGACGATGGTCGTTTGGCGCTCGTCACCGGTACCGTCGGCGAGCTCGGCGATCGCCGGTGGGCCCCGCATGGCGGCCAAGGCAGCCAGATTGACGACTACGTTCCACGCAGCTGCGTGGCTTGGCGGCAAAGCGCTCTCGGTGTCGTCGTCGAGGCCGAGCTTGGGCACACGGTTAGTGTAGTAGAAGTTGGTCTTGAGGAGCGGTGGATCGTGCTGAGCGAGATCGCTCAAGTACGTCCAAGCCGCGCGGACGGGTTCGTCAGCGTCGTTGTTGAAGTTCATGTTGCTGCGTAGTACAAAGCTCGTTTTGTACTGGCGTTGCCAACCGGAAGCTCGCGGTATCCACCGATCTGATTGGTGAACATGGGCGATTACGTCGCTCATGATTGGTCGATATTGGTATCTTTGACAAATATTCACGCAACTTTCCGATTAGGTGCGCTTGCGAAAGCGCGCGAAAATTGCAGCAAGCGACGACAGCGCGTTCTGGGAACCGCAGCGGAAATTCCTACAAATTGTAGCCAATCACAGGTCGAGAAACGAGAAAAGGGCGGTGTTTGGCAAATCAGTGCTGAGAACAATAAGCGCTTGGCGGCCAACTTGCACGCGAGTGAGCGCAGATAGCGGACGTATTCGACCGCTAGAGCTTTACGGTTGTGGCCACCCACCACATACCCACCGCAACGACGTCCGGAAGATGTACGAGAGCAACCTCAGCGAGATCAAGAAGTGGGTGCGCGAGGTCCACGGGTAGCCCCGACGCGTGAAGCCGTGCTCGTCCAAGGAAGCCACGGACGCCGAGACGAGATGTGCGTGCCTTCGATAAGGTTAATGTAGTGGTATGTGAGAGTTGTGTGCCAAGTTTAATGCGTGTGAGTCAATAAGGCTGGGAGGCCATCGCCGTGAGGCCACAGTGGCTCGTGGCACCTGACGCCAACGAGTCGCACAGCGGTTATACCCGGCAACTGCGTTGTCGTTCAGGTGTTTCACACCAGATTGCTGGCCGCTGCGTATGCACGTTTTTGTAACAAGGAAGAGCGCAAGACACATGTGTAAACCATACATATGTTTCTAGATATACATCTGCTTATAAATACATGTGTTCTGACATACACATACCTAAATACCCTATGGACCGATCGATAGCCTCTTCATCCGCGCAATTGCTGCAAAAAGGACGTTTCCCGCTGGACGTGCGCCACGAGATCGAAGCGATTCGTCAGCGACTTGGCGCTCACATTGCCCACACGAGCGAGCGTGGCGCGGACAAAGCGTGTGCCCGACTGGCGGCAGTCGTCGAGAAAGGCGACCTCGATCTTCTGGCGCGGGTTCCGCTCCAAGAGAGAGAGCAAGCGCGAGACCGAGACTGCCACCACCGTCTCGGTACCGCTCCCGTCGTCACAGTGCCACGTACAAGGGACGCGCGGCGAGGCATTGAGAGCCGCGTTGTGCACGAGTGCTGTCGCCATGGCCCCGAGAAGAAGCGAGCACGAATGCATCCCTCCAAAGATGTCGGCCACGGGTGACGTCGTGGGCCACACAAACGACTCGATGATACTAAAGACGTCTGTCGGCAGCATGAGAAGGTGGTTGGCTGGCAAGCGCGCGTTGATCCATCGGGCCATGTCTGCTTGGTCGTAGCAGTAGTGCTCGATGTGCAAAGCGTCCGTGAGTAGACGTTGCAACACATCATCTTGCATCGTCGCCCCGACGCGCGGGTTGAGAAGCGCCGTGTGCAGCGTCACCCACAGCTGCCGGATGCACTCGTAGACAAAGTCTTGTTCGAGCGGCGCGCACACGGGGGCATCCGTGACGCCTGCGAGCGACGCGACAAGCGACGCCGCATGGTCGACACACCACCGAGCCACGAGGTCGTTCATGGCTTTGGCCAGCGGCGTCCACCCGTACTTGGCGAGCTGCTGTTGGATCCATGGTGCGAGCAGCGACCACGGACACGTCGCATCGACAAGTGCTTCGGCCGACAGATAGCGGCAGATGCCATCGACATTGTCCTCGTCGCAGAGCCATTGAAGCAGCGCCTCGTGGCTGGCGGCTGTGCTGTCTGTCCGCAGGTACTCGGTGCCAAAGGCGTTGGTGATAGCGACCGCATACGGGTGGGCGGCCGCAGGCGCGAAGGACCGCATCGCCGATGCAAACGCAGCGACGCCCAAGGCTTGAAAGAGGTGGCGCTTGGGCCAAAACACCAGCACGACGCTGTATTCGTACCGGGCCCCCTCGCCGGTCGCGACGAGTTCATCAAGCTTCACATCCCTCATGTCGACCAACGCCGCTCCGGGCGACGCTGGATGTGGATCGAAATGTTGGATGCCGAAATGTTGCGAGTAGGCGGCAAGCCCGACGTCGTACGCGGCGGAGCGGAGAAGGCCATGGAGAAACGCCTTGTGGAGCGGAGGAAGCGCGCTCCATTCGGGTGTTGTACAGTTGCGACAGAGGTCCATTTGGATACCGCGGACGACGCCGATCGTACTTGACGCGGAGAGCTTGCTGAGGAGCGCATCGACGCGACGGATGGCTCCCGTGTCATCGTAGCTGAGCGCCGACGACCCGGTGACGTGAAACACAAGAGCCACCCGCGGCGAAGCGCCGTGACTCTTGGCAGCGACGAGCGACGCTCCCACGGGTAGGAAGGCGTACTGCACGGGGTCCTCGCTCGCCTCGCTCCACGCGTGTGTCGCGCCGTTTCGCTCCAACTTCAAGTGGAGCTCGTGCGGGTCCTCGGGCGCCAGGAGCACGACCAGCGTCGCGATCGTGTCGCGAGGGCGCGTGGCCAGCGCCAAGCTTGGCGCCCCGCGTCGAGGGTCGATGACGAGATGCGCAAGCACGAGTTGGTTGCTGGGGCGGATGCACTTGGCGTCCGTAGACAGATGAGCGTGTAACTCGGTGTCCCAGCCGTCGTGAAACCGAATGTCGGCTCCGGGGACGATCGTTACCTGGCGAGGCTTCTTCGGACCCCAAGCGCGAAAGAAATCGGCGTGCGCTTGCGACGCGTTGGCGGGTTGGACTGGAGGTCGCGCCGTTGCGTTCGGATAGCGCGTGGCCATCTTCTGCATCTTCTGGTCGCTGAGCGGCAGCGAGAGCACGAGGTCGTCGCCGCGTGGCTCCACGGAAGACACGACGATCTTCGGCAGACGGAGAGTGGGCACGTAGCCGGTCTCGAGAAGCGGCGGTCCACGCTGAAAGAGATCACCAAGGGCGGTCCATGCCACCTTGGCGGAACCGACGAGGGCGCAATCTGGATACTGAGGCATGACAAGGGGAATTTGAAAATGAGAAGAAGCCGACAGCCTGCTAAAGCCAGCGCGAAATGCCGCCAGGCGCTGCCATTGGCCAAGACACAAACGAGTTCGTTGCAGCGTTCACGCGTTTGAAATAAAATAGTCTCATTTCCATGCGTCTTGAGTCGGAGTGCTTGGGCAAGGAGCCTATCGTGGACGAAGGAGCGCGAAATGGTGCAAACCGAGTTTGTGGGCGAACGTGACATGACCTATCTGCCTCGTGAGCGTGATGGTGGCGTAAAAGACCCCGAGTGGGTCGCATGCAGCGAGCGGGGGGCGGTAGCTGCCGCTCGAGAATATAAAATAACTGCATGGTATTTTTTTGATCGAGCTTGGATTGAAATTTCTGTCCACCTACCTTGTCTTGTGTATGCGCATAGTAGAAACAAGTGGGAGCCGACGGAAGAGCGTTACGCGGCGGGCTGCCGCAAGTTCTTCGTCCATGTCGTCGTCTTGGTGCTTATGTCCCTCCTTGCCCACGCCCATCGTATCCAAAAGCATCAGCGATTGCGTGCAGTGTAATGGTGCGTGCAGCGACGGTATGTCTCTTTGGATCCGTCGTTGGACGTGTTCTATCAATGGTTACCGGTACTGTATCTATCACCGGACGGCACCAAATCGTCGCACCCTGAGCA